CACGGAGTTACTTCTCTGCCCTTTGCTCCTAGTAGCGATGCACTTGTTCCTAATAGCTTCTTTGCTCCTAGTAGCTTCTTGTTCCTAGTAGTAAGGCACTTGTTACTAGTAGCGATGCACTTTGTTTCTACTAGCTTTGTGTATGATTGGTGATGCGAAATTTCAAGTGCACGCTGAACACCGTCAACGGGCTGAGCATGGACACTGAAGCCTTCAGCTTCTCTTTTTCATGATCCGCTGGCGCATTTTGCTGCTCCTGCTTTGTTCAAACGGATTGAGGACACGCTTGGCAAGTCTCTGAGGTAACGAAGTGATCAAAAATGTGCACGGTGGCCGAGAGGTAGGAAACAAGAATACACTTGGACCACTGCCAAATCACTGCCAATGGGACTGCGTCCTGGATCTCTGCCTGCAACTTCTGGATTTGCTCCTGGGACGCGCACCAGGCATGGACAGGGTAAAAAGACCAAAAATTGAAGGGGAGCTTCTCTAGCTGACAAGCTGAATTGTGCCCTCGCGGCCTTGTCAAGACTAAAGACGAACAATTGAGCAGGCGCTGTGTAGAACATGTTTGTCTAGTTGCTGCAGGGTGTTGATAGTTCTTCACCCATGGAGGCCTGTTCCACCCAGGTCAGATGTTGTTCCTCTCACCCCCCCTCCTCCAAATAGGCCTTCTCTGCCGAGCGCCGCTCCCGCTCGGTGCGAACCTGCGCGAAGGACAGTGCGGGTGCGACCAAGTGCCAGAAACCCCTGCCCGACCAAAACAGTTCCCTCCGAGCTTCTTCAGGCCTCCCTGAAGTCCTGGTGAGAACCTAGAACCTGAGAACTGAGAAGCTCTAAAACGTGCCTGAAACCGACAGAAGTTCATCCGAGCCGTCCAACTCCTCTTCCAAATGCCACCAGCTTCCTATCTGTACCCTGCAAGCATTCTAAACGTTCCCTTCGTAGCCTCCTCTAGCAGTTGCTGAGCAGCTACGTGGCCCTGAAGGCAGGGATTGGTGCTCAACAGTGCTTCGCTGCTTCTGCGTTGCTTTCCGACAAAAGAAGTTTGCAAAGTCTCAACGAATGAGAGGCACGTTTCTTCGTCTCTCTGAAACGGGCCTGAGCTGCTGCTGGAGTCTCGTTAAACAGTGCGTTCCGGACTTCCTTCATGGCCTGCCACTCAATGATCCCACATGCCAACGGCCAAAGAGTGGTGTGAACCCCACATATTAGGTTGGGGGAGGAAAGAAGCATGGTCAGACATTTCAACCTTAGCTTGCCTCGGCATAAACCAAAGTGGGTGTTACGACTGCAGCACTGAGATCTATGCACTGACTGATGCGATCAATCGATATCAATCGCATCACTCACACTGTCCGGCGTTCGTCTCACCCGCCTTCCGAAGCTTCCCGACTTCTAGATTCCTCCGTCGCTTTTGCCTCTCCATCAGGTGGACCTGCCATGTTCTTTGCTTGGAAAGGGGGCTGGGCTGAGCCCAAACCAGTGAGAGAACTCAGAACTCATTCATTCTGCTTTGCCTATCAACGAGGAGTATAAGGTTCCCCTGCGTCGACACATTGCCCATCTGCAAAGTGACTGTTCAGCCGACAAGGGCCATTTTAAGCCTCTAGCGATGCCAGGAGCCCCTAGTAGCGTTCTTGTTCCTAGTAGCGATGCCAGGAGCCCCTAGTAGCGATGCCCTTTGCTCCTAGTAGCGTTCTTGTTCCTGTCCTTGCTCCTAGCAGCAACTCTCTTTTGACGCCTGATGTCTCAAGATCTCGATGTCTTGTCGAGCCCACCTTAAGGCGTCCACGTTACAAGGTGTGAAGAAAAGTCAAGAACGGGTTGTCGAAGTTCTAGAGATCGTATACGCAGCTCTAGGCAGCGGTCTAGGTATTTCCGGCACTCACTCAGGGATGATGTGTGTATTTTCCAGCGGGTTCATTTGGAGACCCCCACAATCCAACACACAATCATGGCACTTGGAAAAAGAATCGCAAAAAGAATGAGCAAAAACAGTCACAAATGATGAATCAGAACATTTCAAAACCATCACCGTCATCCCCTTACATCCTGGGACATGGACCCATTGCTGTTCTCTGATTGGAGCTGCGACAGAGTGACCTGAGCACTTGGCGCTCGCGGTCCACGATGTGTGACTCAACTCAACCCGAACTCTCAAAAGCACCTTACTGTAAAACAGATCGAACAAAAGGAAAGATAAAGAAGAAAAGACCTAGGAGGCAAGAGACTTTTTGTCTGTCAAGACTTTATCACCCTGTCTGATGCTGATGATGCAGCTAGCATTTTCGGCATCATCAATTCACCAACAAGGTTGCATAAAGGCTTTTCGCATAAAAAAGATAAACCCTACTGGCTGGCTTTCGTAAAACGTTGTAAAAGAATGCAAAAGAAAGGATTAAACTTCCCTAAAAATCTAGGAACCAAATGATTGGTGCGAGCTATCCTGTGTCTCCAGTTACTGTTACCAGTGCTAATTAGTATATAGATACCTGTTCAAGAAAAGAATACAAAATGCACATGAAAAAGGAAAAGACACAAGACAACGAAAAAATTCTCATGGCTTGTCATGACTCCTCCAGACCGCCATCACCTGCCTGCCTCATACTCACGGAGGTGGTGGCTGAAGGTCGCTCGGAGCTTTCCGACTTCAGTGAGCAACACCTGCAAAGGAAAGCAAGTTTCGATGAGCAAAGGAACACAAAATGAATGAAATGGAACACATTAAAACTACATGACATAGAATTCATTAGAACTCGCACTGTATTTGCCCCCTGAATCTCACCAGTTGATTAGCAGTGGTGGAGTAGTAAGAACCTTAAGGCCCGAATTGAAGAACACCAAAGGCAAATGTAGACCAATTGCAGGGTTGTTCAAAAATGTTCAAACTACAAAAAAAGTAAAAACTTTATATAAACCCCAAGAGCGTTCTCCCACCAATTTCTGGAGAGTTTCAGTGCAAGTATTATATAACTTTCTCAACAAGGATCAGCAAGGATCGAAGCAGTTCTAAAAATGTCTAAAACACCCATGTTTGATCTAAGTCTGGCTTGTGCCGCTGCCTCGAGCTTGTGGGACCAGTTTGGTACGTGAGATAGAATGGGTTTGGCTATGAAATCAAGTCCAGCCCTTGTACATAGGAACGTGCACGCAACACTCCTCGCTCCTGCACTGCCAGCCTCGTTGATTATTTGATCCAGGTCTTCATGCCAACTTTCATCCTGATTGATGGCCAGTGGGCCATGTGTCACGTCTCATGGGCATTGACAGAATGGAAGATCCCTTCATCCACCAAAAGGTAAGGATTGGTACGTTCGCTAAGGGTACATTTTCTAAGGACACACCACACACATCTGGTTGGCCAGGGAAAAAATGCAAAAAAATTAAGCTAAAGCAATCTACACAACGCAACCACACATCTTGACCATGATCGACACCCATCTTGCCACAATCGTCGTGAACAGGCATGAATATGGCAAATAGATCAAACTAAATCCACACACAGATCTCAAAGAATGTACAGAATTGTCGTCATTCCTTCTCACTTCCCGCGGCCGACCTGCGGCGGAGGTGGGGCCGAGGGCCTCCAGCAAAAGAGAAACAAGGGAAGACTGGGGCATGGACTGCCAAAGGTCTACACAAGCCTAAGGCCGGAGCACAGACCTTGTCGTCCTTGAGGCAATGTCACCCCAGCATGAAAACAAACTCTGCAACCTTGGCAGGACAGTGGCACGCTTAAACGGTCAAGAACTGGGGGGCTCACTTGTGTTTCTTTCCAATTGAATTGCGGTGTCCATTCCACCCACGCATGTGATAAGAACTCAGGAACGCCTCCAGGATCCTCATAAAAAAATGCATTGTACCTCCCACAGTGAACAGGTTTGTTGCAACGTGTTCCCTTCCAGGGTTTGTGTTCAGGCTGAGGGCCACACATTGGTCGGACCTGGCGCCCCGATGCTCACAAAAGCAATGATCCGACGCTTGGAACAATTGTTCAACTCTCCCGTCTTCACCGATTCGCCTGCGTCAGGTCGAAGCGGCCCGCTGTGCAAGGCAAGCAGCGCCAGTTGTTCAGCGTGCTTCTAGGCTGTCGCTCTTGGCAACTCTTGCTCGAGCGAAATGATGCCAATAGTTCATTGAAATCTTTCAACAAGTTCTGTTATTTGGTGTGTGTATGTATATATGGATATATATATTGTTTATTTATATAAACTATTTAGACGCCAGATGTCCAAATGAATGCTCTCTAGGTCATGTCTTGCCATGCACCTTATTTTGATCTCATGGGCTGAGCCGAAATGCTTCCGCACTCTTCTGACATGGTTGTGGAAATCTGGAAGCAGGAGCTTAGTCCATTGTCTCTCCACTTGCAGCTTCATCACAATTGAGCCAATTAAGCCCAAGTTCTCAAACAGTTCTTCCTCTAATCTAAGGCTTTCATACAAAATCATACGAGTGGGTTCACAACATCACTGCTTTTGGTTCCGCTCCAGAGCACCCGAAGCGTTCAGATTGACTTGGCCAATCTTCGGACACCAAAAAGTAAAACCTGAGGTTTATACCCCACAAAGGGATCGACTGCTACTCCAAAGCAACCCCCAAACCATTGATCTTCCCCACACAGGAGGCTTAGCTGGTTGGAGGAGATAAATCATACCGCTGACTGAACAAATCCTGCGCCACCTTTTGAAGAAATTGATGGAACTCTCCCCTTACATCGTGACAGGTTGGCTATCATTTGTCGGTTATATATTGTCAGGTGGCGGAGGATTTGTTCCATCGACAGTAAAGGACCTCAAAGCACTGCTTCACAGTATTGTGATGCACGCAAAATCGGAGACAAATTGCTGTGCCTTGCCATTGCAAGCTTGGAAAATCAGCACAGGTCTCCATTGGCGAAATGTCAGGATTTGCAAGTGGCCCCCCACCAGGATATGTCAGGTTGTATCGATTCGTTTGCAAATACATTTCATGCTGAAAACTGAAACGTGCTCATCGCGGTAGGGGCGTTTTCGCAGGTGTGTCTTTGTTCAGATCCTGACATGTTGCATGTTCGCGACACCTACTGCAATTGCTTCTTCTTTTTGGATAACTCAGACTTCTCCTGCAGAACTTGAGGCTGAGTACATCCAATCTCTGACTCCGAAGCGAAGGACTTCCTAATGATCCTAATGTGTGGAGCGGATTCGCAGGTTGAATACATCACAAACATAGTCAGAAAGTAGCTGCAAAGTCTTGCATCTGCAGCAACCAGTCCTTCGGAGTGTCTTTGACTTTCTTTGGGAGCTTGGTTGCCTGAGCAAGGACTTGCCAGCTGGAGCGGATAAGTGGCAAAACGTGGCCAGATTTCTCCAGGAGCTTCATCAATTCTATTTACTGTATATATATATAATGTTATGAGAATCTTACAGCCACAGACTGGGGGTGGACAAAACATTTATTTTTTCATTTCGTTTTCGTTTTCATCATCATTTTTTTTCATGCCCATTTGTGTCTTTTTTCATGTAAATGTGTGTTTTTGTTTGCATCATCATTTTTTTTACACGCCCACCGGTGCTTTTTCATGCGTGATTGCGTTTATCGTTTGCGTCCCCTGAAGCTAAGGCTGCCAAGTCACTTACTCCTGAACCCTCTTTGCTACCCGCTGCTACCCTGGTCGGCTAGTCACTTTCTTCTATTTTGCTTTAGCTGTTGTGAAATGTACTTAAACTGTCGTTCACGCGTTGCCGAAACTATCTGAACTTAAAACAACGTGAACAGACTAAATTATATACATGAACACATGAATTGAATTACAATGTTGCCAATGTGTGGCCGAAACTAGCCAAAGCGATCATGAAAGACAAAAGAATGCTGGAGCTCAATTGCAATTGCCTCCCCTGAAGGAAAGCGACCAAGTGAGCTAGTCCTGAACCCTCTTTGCTGGTGGATCACACATGTCCTTCTATTTTGCTTTAGCTTTTGTGAAATGGACCTGACTATCGTTGATTTGTGGCGCAAACTAGCCAAAACGAAAAAGACATGAAAAAGAAAAACGAAAAATAAATGAAAAGCAAACACGAAACGAAAAAAATTAAAAAATAAACGAAAAATAAATGAACAGCAAAAACGAAACGAAAAAAAATGAAAATTTTTGTTCGCTCAAAAATTGCAATTTTCCTCGAGTTTTTTTCATTTTTTTTCGTTCTTTTTTCGTTTTGGCTAGTTTCGGCTAGTTTCGGCCACAAAGCAACGAAAAACGAAAAAAAAACGAAAAAAAAATGAAAAAAACTCGAGGAAAATTGCAATTTTTGAGCGAGCAAAAATGTTCATTTTGTTCGTTTTTTTTTCGTTTCGTTTTTGCTTTTCATTTATTGTTCGTTTCTTTTTTTCATTTTTTTTCGTGTGGCATTTTGGTTTTCATTTGCTTCCTCATTTGTCATTTTGGTGTTCATTTGGTTCATCATTTATTTAATTTGTGATGTTGGTTTTCATTTGGTTAATAATTTCTTCTCATCTGTCATTTTGGTCTTCATTTGGGTCATACTGTTTATATTGATTCTGACAATTTCGTGTGCTTTTTCCCGAATGCGTAGCGAAGGGTTCTCGTTTAACTCTTGGGGGTCTGGGGGTAGAGCTTTGTTCGCGACCCGTTGCTTCTATGTTCGCAACCGTTGGCAACCGTCCGCAACCGTTCGCAACCGTTCGCAACCGTTCGCAGTAGAGCGCTAAGGCGCTGCCATTGGGGGAAGCTTTTGCAAGTGACTTTTCATGGATGTGTCACGTGTCAGTTTGCGACGCTATTCCATTGTGATTTGCATGAAAATGACATGTCGCGCAAGAAGCATGATGCATTTCGCTGCACAGGCGCAGCGTTTTGCGAGATCCTCAGTTTGCTACGCAGTTCCATTGGGATTAGCATTTGGAGAGTCGTGTTTTTGGGGTGTTGGATGTGGCCGTGCCATTGGGATTTGCGTTTCAGGGTGTGGCATCGAAGCTCTGTTTTCGTGACAAGTCTCAGCTGAAATGGCGATTTTGGTGGATGGGAGTGTGCTCAGAACGGATCGAACTCATTCCAAACGTGTGGTGTGGTGCAAATTTTGTTGAAGCTCACATGAGATGATTTTGTCACTTTTCGCGGCAGGCGCAGTACTTTGTGCGGGTTTTGAGGCATGGAAGTGTGATTTTCGTGGCAGGCGCAGGGAATCGTGAGGTTGCGAGGTGTGACGGAGGTGACATTGCGTGGCAGGCGCAGTACTTTGTGCGCGTTACACGTGTGGACGCGGAAAGATGCGTGGCAGGCGCAGGGAATCGTGAGGTTGTGAGTTGTGGTAGAGGTGACTGTCGTTGTCTCATTGGGATTGGCGTGTGAGCGGGTGTTGTTTGGAGGGGCTGGAATCGCGAAACTGCTTGGCAGGGCTGCGTGATGTGTGTGCTCCGATGGGTGTTTCCGCTTGACTTTTGGAGGAGGTCTCGTACGAAACGCTCGTTTTGGAGACTTTGACACGTGAGTTTTTGAGGAAGTCTCGTACGAAACGCTCGTTTTGGAGAGTTGACACGTGACTTTTGGAGGAGGTCTCGTACGAAACGCTCGTTTTGGAGACTTGACATGTGACTTTTGGAGGAGGTCTCGTACGAAACGCTCCGTTTTGGAGACTTGACGCGTGACTTTAGGAGGAAGTCTCGTACGAAACGCTCGCGTGACTGCTTCTATATAGTGTGTGGGCAGACCGTGTCGCGACACGAGTGTCCCACAAGAGAGTCCCACAAGAGTGTTCCACAAGAGTGTCCCGCAACCGTGTCCCACAAGAGTGTCTCACAAGAGTGTCCCTTAAGAGTGTCCCACAAGAGTGTCCTATAAGAGTGCCCCACAAGAGTGTCCTACAAGAGTGTCCCACAAGAGTTTCCTACAAGAGTGTCACACAAGAGTGTCCCACAAGAGTGTCCCACAAGAGTGTCCTACAAGAGTGTCCTACAAGAGTGT